TGTACAGATATTACATTGTAGACATTGACAGGCTGTTTTAGCATTATACTTGATATTCAAATTGAGAGCATTGGTAAATGGCATTCATGAATTGATGTTATGTTATACTAGGACCTTATACGATGACATTGAAATTTCCCCACTGTGGGACGTATAAAGGACTATATTGTATATCTTATTCACATCACTGTCTATCAAATATTACAGCTTCATCCACAAAATGTTATCTTTAATGTGTGTAATCATGGTTAAGTTGTTGCATGCATTTATGTACTGTTACAACACTGTCCTGTCTCACTTACAAGCAAGCTCTGAATGCTGGACACGTGACACAGCAAAAATCAATGATTGTAATAATAGCAGGTTTACAGAACATGTATACTTATAATAGTTTGTGCACTTCCAGAATAATTTGTAGGTTAAAGTCTGCAAAAACCCAAGTTTGTAATATTATTCATTCAAGAAGCTTGCATCTGTAGGCGCCGGCTGCAAGATTTTCACTTAATATTCAAATAGAAACCGGAGATGCACTTTCTCTCATTTTTGCTGCCACACTGGATTCTGGAGGTGATAAGAGACGGTAATAAAAAATACAATTCAATCTGTTCTTGAGCCACATGCCTTTGAAATTAATTAAGTGGTGATCGAGCGTTTTGAGAACCAATCCATAGGAGACCAACATGCTTTATCTATGTTCAATGTATGTATAATTAACTATCCCTGCCAGCACCGAAGCATGAGAATAGGATATCGACTATGCGCTTTGATTATAATTTGACTTTGCCTGTAGTGTCTTCTAGAGTATATATTATATATAGGGGAACTTTGATTATTTCTTACATACTTTTCATCTATGTTTTATCCCTTTGTAATTGCCTGTTTAAATTAACTAATCCAGTAATAATGGTTGTATTTGTGTTCTGAAAACTATTTAAGTTTGGCTAAACGGTAAAACAACCACAACATGCTCTCGCAATTTCAACTCATCGGATAATTAACAACAAAAATATTGCAGGACCCAAAACAAGATAGGTTTACCTGTCGGATGAAGTCACTCTTTAGAACAGGGGTGGCCAACCAGTCAGAGACTAAGAGCCAATTTTTTTTACTGTGTTACAGCAAAGAGCCACATCATACAAATGTGCACTACATAAACATCACCCCAACCCTTACACACGCACGCACACGCGCACGTACTGTACGCACACGAGCAGACACGCGCACACACATGCAATCTGTCTGAGCAGAGAGAGGTGTGCTCTGCTCAGACAGATTTATTGTAAATGTCATCAACATGATAATGACAGAAATTGACTCGTACAGCACTAAAGGGCTGGACTCGACTCTCCCCGGTTTGCGGGCGCTTCCACCGCTCGCTTTAGCCGCTCCCCAGTACTTTTTATTAATGGTTTGGCCCTGGTTCTAACCGGGCGAGTCGATACCAGAACAATTTCACGTCAGCGAACATCAATTATGATTCCGAAATGAATGCTTTCAATCTCTAACCAAGAAAAAAAAATCAAGTTTCAACCCAGTGTTCAGCAGAAACACAACTGTCTTTAGTAAAAGATATAGATTTGACACATAACACCAACACCACTTTAGCTGATTTAGAACCACAGACACATGTTCAGTATAAGACCAGATACTTTTGCATTTGATTGAAGACAGACACTCACCAGGCAGAGTTGGCTTATCTCCTGGTGTAATGCTAGTTGTTGTTAGCTGGTTTTAGCATGTTAGCCGGTGTTAGCCGATGTCCGTAAATGTAATCCATTTGGTCAAACCACCTCCAGACTTTTCGGGTCTGCCTCTACTTCTGCTGCTGCGATCTTTCATTTCACGGTTGTCACTTTTAAGCTTTTTAACTTTTCTCTGCATTGTCATGTTTGTGGGAATCATTCTGCTCCGTCCTTAGTGCTAGCTCCACAAACACCTTCTGGTTTCTGGTGGAACCAGCGAGATCAGGCTGGTGTCCTCTCCTCAAACTGAGGAAGGTGTTGCCCTCATCCAGTTACCAAGGAATTGTTTTCCGTACGGACGTCATGGTTCGAGGCAACGTGTTGTTTGTTATGATATTTGCTACAGCTGCAGAGTGATTGACAGCGCATCTGACCAACCAGAATTGACGTTCGCCGACGTCAGATTGTTTTGGTGGCCTGGCTAGTGGAGTGAAGTCGGCCTTTACTATTGGTCAGAACTACATATGGAATGAAAGGCAGCGCCACCACCGAGGCGTTTTTGACGCTTGTCGAGTGAAAGCCCGAGAGCCGCACGGAACCAGCCAAAGAGCCGCATGCGGCTCACGAGCCGCGGGTTGGCCACCCCTGCTTTAGAATTTGACACACTCCATTACAATCTTTACTAATAGATGTGTGTAGTATGCGGTCTCCATTAACCTTGATTGTAATACCTTAAAGCTATGTCATATGAACAAGCCTTCGACATTTCTTCTGATGATACATGGCTATATACTGAATACTTGTATCTGATCCCAAACCGTCGAGTACACTGTTCCTCCATGGCAGCGTTCATCAATAAAGCATAATAATCCTCGCGCCTATTCATCTTTAATGCTGCACCTTCTATGTTCGCCAGAGCAAACACTGGGGCTGCTACAGAGGTGTCAAATCAATGTAACATGTATAGCTCCCACAGTAAAAGCACAGCCATGTCCCCAGTCTCCTCTGCTGCTCGCCGCCAGACACAAAACATAATGGACACGCTGAACATACTCGATATGCTCCGTACATGACAGGACAGCTGGGAGAGAAGTAACAACTATATATGCTCTCAGTGGCATATACTTATACTTAGTGGCATAAAAATTGTACAATGTGCACATAAGACAAGAACAGATTTAGGTTACACTACTACTAACAATGCCACCTGTTGTCGGTATGTCACTGGTCACGACCAGACCGCTGGACTCCAGTCAGAAAGGGAAAGTTAATATAAAAGGTGTCAAACTTTAATTATTGCAAATCTAACAAACTATTTCATAGTGCATTTGTACTATGTAACGTTTTAATATCCAAGATTTAAAATGGTTTCCCCAATTATTCAGGCTAGTAGACCTTTAGTTGATTTCAGTCAACCAATATTTTAAACAATCTATATTATAGGGACTAAAAGTATAAATATATTACAAGTACAAAAACAAGTGTGTCTGGTGTGAATTAAATGTTATTGTGGACAATTTATCTAAACATGTTGTTTTTCTTTATGTACAAAGTAGTCTTTGCAATATATATGGTACTAATAGTTTTTAAAGCGTTGCCAGCACAACACCCAGTTTAAATCAATGCAGAAAATCAACCATAGATTGATTTAGTCGGTGCTACAGTACTCAAAATGAAATGAAACATTTACTCCATTTACCATTATTTACAGAACCTCTAATTATCATTTTAAAGTATCCGTTTTTCACTCTTAAGCTATTTCTGTCCATTCCACCCACTTCTGCAGCCGCCAGTCTGAAATTTAATGGACACAGTTAACACGGACATAAACTCAATAGACTCCCACACTCTGCAACAACGGACCACAGAGCCACACACGAGAGCTACTATTAAGCATCCAAAAAAAAACAAAGAAGATATTGTTTCGTTCACCCACAAAGGCCTGGCCTCGCACCATCAAAACAAAACTAGTGAGCTGTCAAATTAAGACACAATGCAGTCATTTGAACACTCACTCAAAAAATATGATTAGTTTCAAATAGACAGCAGCCACCCCCACATCAGTAAAAACAAGACACAGTTGAGTCGATTATAGATGCTTTTCCACATGCATTGATTTCATTCACGCATGCAGACTCGAGAAGATAGTGAGGAAAAGAGGCGGCATATTGCAAAGAGAGTTATCACACATAGCACTGCACAGTACAGGAAACCCTCCCCTACGCAAGCCCACTTCTCTCTCCCAATGAGTGGAGCAGATCTAGGTCAAAGCTGATTAATGTGCCCACAGTTCCCGAGAGGTTTTTGGTCAGGTGGCAGCAGCGTTGACTCTCCACGCCGTGCAAGAATACTAATGCATTTCAGCTATTCTTGACATTTCATTGTGCTTCATAATCAAAACATTGCAGATTAGATATATGCAGAACAATGCCCAAGGAGATTTATCCTTTTCCTTGGAGCCAATACAAGTGAGAGGAACAGAAAAATTGGGACAAACTACTGAGTGGATGTTTGCATAGCCCATCTCTGTCACAACTGAAAGATGTCTTTATACAGGCAAGCTCCTTTGTTTTATGCATTGGACATGTCTGGGCATTGCATGTGGCACATGTGTCAACAGAAAACGCGATTGGCAAGACGCATTTACATCGATCTACCTACTCCAAATAACATGTTTATTACTACATAAAGACAGCCGATAACCTAGAGAGTATGTAGATGTTGAAGCTACTACTTCTTACTACAAACGAGCCGCATGAATGGGAAAATGTCATAGTATTTATAGATAGTTATGCTGCCTGATATGGGTGGCTGCATTCTGAAAAACATGAAGGCTTGTGGATCGAATATACAGTGCATTACATGGGTGTATACAACATTAATAGCACGGCAATAACACAGAGAATCTTGCGTGTGTGGTTTTTAAGTGACCATGTCCGTAGTTTGGTTAGCCACACCGTTAAAACACGGATAATCCTGCAACCGAGCAATGTTATTACAATAAAGAAGCATTGGGCTGTACTTTTAACAGCGTAACAGCAAGAAATAATGCTAAAAATATGGAGACATTTGTATTATTTTGCATTCAAAGGAAAATGTGATGCTTTTTGCAGAAAGAGACCACTAACGCTATGTGTCATTAGCGTTAGCATTAGCCACTTTGCTAGTTAGTTAGCGTGCTCCAGCCAGCTCTGTTTTGAAATGTGTTACAACCTCAGAGGGCGTTTGTAAAACACACAAATCTGAATGTATCTGACAATATCGGGATTTTTTAACACACTAGTTTGCCGTGTTCGTGCGTGCAACAGCCCTTTTTACCTTGGGACACAGCTCGGGGACGATCGGTCTATCTCCCAAGTCGCGAAGAGGTTCATCGGGACGGGCATGGATCCGGAGCCCGAGCCCAGCACCACGGCGCCGGGGAAGGGTCCCGGAGGCAGGCCGGTAGGCATGGGTCCACCGCCACCACCTCCACCACCAGCGCTGCTCGAGTTGAGAAAAGCGGCCCGCACTCCTCCCCTCTCCACAGCCGTCGCCATCATCACCTCCGTCCACTGGCTGAAGTGTGGGACTGACGGAGCCGCAGGACACGTCTCTTCTCGGGCTGCGCTGCTCTGCTCTGGCCGCTCTCTGGGACTGAGTGAGCGGAGGAGTGATGCTGCTGATCAGGCGGGCTCAGGAGCGCAGCTAGGGGGCAGCACTGAGCACTACACAACTTATTCAGACCATGATTCATTTGAAAGTGCTCCAGACAGATAAGAATGAAAACACAGTTAAGATGATTGTATTTAAGATTAGTAGGAATAATATCCAAGCTAAAATTCAGATTCATATTGGTGATTAATTCAATGGAATTGAATCGAATCGAATTTAACTATTAATGTTAATAGTGTCTATCTACAAAGACTGAGTGTAGTTACCAGCCACCACAACATAAAAAAACAAGAATTTCATAGAATTTAAACAAAAGTTAAATAAATTATAAAGATGCTGCTTCAAACAACATATTTTGTAATTAAACATCTAAAATGCATGTCTTAAATTACTTTGTAACTAGCAATGTATCATCATATTTAATGATAACTAAAGCCAAACAGATCCAACTATGTACAAAACCAGGATACCATACTTGTGTTCACATACCTACATGGGCACGCAGCCCTGGTTTAGCCTTTACTTACCATGTTATTACCATGGATCTATAATAATATTATTACACACTACTAAAAGATGTTGCACTTTCATTAATTTTTATGGAATCTCAAAGGAAAAAAAAAACATCACGTTTCTTCCTATGGTGCTGAGTTTAGTTTAGTCTGTAATTGGATGACCATTATAAGATAAGATAAACTAAATTATGCTTTCATTATTCCTGTGTGTATAGTTGTATCGTTGCTTGATCACTAATATCCATCGGTGAAACACACATTATATTAATAACACAATGCACATGTAGCAACAGTTTTGTACAAGGCAGACTATGAAGTTGGAAGCTAGGGGCCATGATAAGACCCATCCATTAAATTCTCTAATAAGCAATAAAAATACGTGGTCCTAGTAAAATTAAATAGTTCACATAGAATTCATCCGACTTTTCTATTTGGTATTACTGACACAACATATAACATGACACAAACCTAATAAAATAGGGCTTAGACATTTTTGCTTTTCCTTAATGCTCCAATGCACAGCGGAGCGTAGAAATCAGTTCAAGTTTAATACGTATTCCGTAGAGTGTCATATTTATTAGTGCATTCCAAAAGTTATGTAATATGATGTTATACAATAACTGGAGCAAAACCTGCACAATCTTTCCCATGAAAAGCATTTTCTTATAGGACTACTGTTTTATGTATAATCCTTTGGTGATTTTATTCCCATGTTGTAATCACTTAGATTAGACTGTCTAAGGCTTTTCAAACCGATGACTTGAGCTATTGTCAGAATACATGGTGGGAAAATACATGATACATGATACACTCATTGCTAATGGCAGGTGTTTGGAAATACTTTTACTGGAGCTGTGACTTAAGGCAGGTATAAAGAAGACGTGACCGGGCTTGTACAGGGTTGGGCAACGCATGCCATACAAGAGTGTGTTTTTCATCATTTCATCACCATAGTTGTGTTATGATTGACTTTGTGTCTGTTTACCACACTCCGGGCACAAATTCAAAAAATGTTCATGATTGTTTAAGGGGTACAAGATTGAGATCCAGATGAAGAGATCCTTTATCTGTCTCACAGTGTGTACATTGTAGTGTTGCATAGCAAGTTATAGAACTGTAGGAATGAGGAGCACGCAACACAAGATACAATAAGTTTTATATTAAGTATCGCACAACTCTACACTAACAACAATCTCTATCTTGGGCTGAATAAAGCGTGTTTCTATCTTGTTTTGTTCAGCACTTTGAGTTGCCTTGTGTTTGATTTGTGCTATACCAATAAACTTGCCTTGCCTTGCCTACAAAAACAAAGTATAACTAGTAAAAACATAAAGTTAAACCTGTACTGTATAGTCTTGTGCGTATGAATATATATGTACATCAGTCTAGATACATGTGTGATACACTAGTGCAAGAAAATAGATCTAATAAATCATGTACAATGTTTCTTTTCTGAAAGGTCCAACACTGTCTAATGTTCATTCCACACTTCCATTTATTCCTGTGGGTGTTTTTATTGCTCAAATTTACCACAAAAAAAACAAACATTGTTTCAGTGAGCTTCTCCATTTGATTGAGTTTAAAGCCATTTTGTTTTGGGCGAAGCAATGACATCACCCAGCAAGCAACCAGTGCATCTTTAATGACAAAATTGCTGTCTGATGTATGTGGTCTGAGAGGGAGTGTTCACAGATAGATCAAAAATGGGATTAGGGATGAACGCACTTCCAAACCTGCTAGACCAATCCACCAAGGCTAAAGTGGGCGCAGACCAATAGACAAGAGTGCACATGTACTGAAATTATACCTATATTCTTTTGATTGTTTGATTGTAACAGTGGTCCAACTCTGGATTTTGCTGTACTGGGTATGATGCTACATTATTTCTGTAAATAGAAAAAGATTGAAGGTACTTGTACAAAAGAAAATATGAATTAGAGGCCTCCAGTGTCTCCCTCTCCAGACCAGCAACTTTAAAAAATGTTCAAACTTTTCAAACTTATGTATAGCACCTGAGGCACATTTCACCATGAAGTGTAAGCTGGACAATGTTTCCTTGTGTTCTTCTTTTGTGTGTGCTTGTGTATGTGTGTGGGTTATTTCACGTTTGCATATTATTGCACCGCGGCACGGTGGCTGAGTGGATAGCACTCTCGCCTCTCAGCAAGAAGGTCCTGGGTTCGAATCCCGGCCGGACCAGGGCCTTTCTGAGTGGAGTTTGCATGTTCTCCCCGTGTCTGCGTAGGTTTCCTCCGGGTACTCCGGTTTCCCCTACCACTAAAAATATGTACAATAGGTCTGGCATGCGCCTCCTGTACTGCGACCTCGCTCCCATCTCTGTGAGGAGTGAGAGACAAATGCCCAAAAATTAACAATTGTAAACCACTTTGAGACTCAGATCTGCAGTGAAAAGGCGGTATATAAATAAAACTTACTAACTTACTTACTATTGTGAAAGGAATCGATTTTTCAGACAGGTGCAAAGGGAAATTCATTCATAAAGCCAAGAATAGCAGAACAAAATCTGCACACTGTCTTACTTGCTAGTTGCAGATACAGAGGTGGTAACGTTTCGGCAAATATTCGAGGTCTCCGTTGCCAAAATGTAGCCTTTCTGCTTTTGGGATAAGGCTGGACCTGAGGTGATCAAATACTGAGCGATTATGCTTCTTGTAAAACTACTGTCCTTTGGTTTTGTTTCAATTTACCCACACACGCACTTATAAACGCACACACACACACACACACACACGCACGCACGCATGCACGCACACAAACACACACACACACACACACACACACACACACTTACATGTTTTATGTAAAAAAGAGATTCACTTTTCCTTCTCTCTGTTGTTTTGTGCTGTGAACAAAATTTTATGTAAGTGTATTTGAAGTGTCTGGCATGTTAGAGCTTATATTTTCCACTTTGTCTGCTCCCAATGAAAGGATTTATGGAAACATAGATGAGAACATGCTGCTCAAGAAAGACAATCCTTCTTTATTGGTTTTGAATGCTGTATTTCTGACAGTGAGGCCGCTGTAATAGTCTCAGCATCACGCAGAGCTGCTATGACTGCTGCCATTTTAAAGGAACCCCAATGTGAATAATCCAAATTCTCTCATAACACCCAGGCTTTATACTTTAACCAGATTATAGAGTTCTGGGATTGTTGTACTACATTAATATCAGGTGAGCGGGAAATCCAATGTAAATGGATTTAGAAAAATGGTAAATAGTCAAATTCCTAAAGAGCTTTTCTGCCGTCAAAGCACTGAAAGCTCTTTACATCACAGACCCACTCACCCATTCATCCAACCATACAGATAAGTGGAGGTATGTATTTCCATTTCAGTATAGATGAAGTAGAGTTTTATATACTTCAGGATTTCATTATGCTCTGAAAACTACACATATTTGTCTTTTTGTGCAGTTTGTGTACTCTTTTCATTCCCATTCTATGTAATGTGGGCTGCAACCCTGGAATTTTCCCAACTGTGGTATGAATAAAGGTTCTCTTAAGAATCAAAGTTTTTTGAATTAACAAAATGGTTGATTTGTCAGGAGAGGTTTCAAAAGTCAAATGATTAAAAAGTCATTGTCAAAAAAGGCAAACAAATGAATCATTGGTCACAGGAAATGACATCCGTCATGACGTCCCGGCGCATCCCCTGTCCAGACTCTCTTCTTCTCTCCTTTTTCCTTCTTCTCCAGAAGGAAAAACTCCAAGAAGGAAAAACTCCAGATATATAAACCGTGGGCGAACAGGCTGCACGAGTCCTGGACTGATGCACATCATTTGCAAAGAGCATTCAAGTCTATTATACAAAGGTCCACCTTGGACTTGGATTTCGGCTTCAGAGCAGACCACATACGGCCCCCTGGACCCTCGCCAGCTGTTAACCTCAACTGTCCACCTACACCGCTTGCGGTCTGTTTGCCTTTTTCAATGAATGGGAGTCAATTCACAATGACAGTTTCAAACTCAATCATATTTATTCTGTATAATAACAATGAAACTAAATGCATGAATTTGTAAATCAGTCTACAATACTCAGCCTGCTACCATTATGCTTTGTCTAGTTTAAGCACAATCCAGTAATCAAGTAATTTTGTTCAAAAAAATTATATTCAAAACCCATATTCAATAGAACAATAATTTGCTCAAAATGGAAAAAGGCAAAAACAAAACAATAACCACAGATGCAAAAGATAAGCTCTAAACACATTTCCACAAACACAAAGAAAACAAAAACACTGGATACTTCAGGTGTCCTTCTCCTTCTCTTTTTCAAACATGTTTGTTAAATAAATTTAGATGTATTGTATACAGATTATAACTGAAGTATTTTTTTCTTACTGTACGTCAATA